AAGTCGTGTCGAAATTGACTTCATATGCAGAACTTTTTGTAACTATAATAGGAGCTAATTTTTGCTGAGATAGTACTGATCGAGTGCTATTTAAATATATGTTCTTCTCCGAGAAATATTTGACAGCTTCAGAGAAAATTTTAGAAGAAGATTTCCAAAATCGCTTAAAACGAATTTTGCCCATAACTTCTTTCGTTTTCGCTGCTTCAGAAATTCATCACTTTCAAAATAGGGTTTTCGGGGGACCAAACCGGAAAAATAGGCGTTTGTTTTAAACTGATAACTTTTGATACTTTTATAAAAGCTTATCAGAGCTTATTCTGGTCATAGACAGAGTCGGTGTCGGAGTTTCCTCCTCAGTCGCGCCGTATATCCGCCAATCAAGTTCGGATCAAGAGAAGCGAGAAATAAAAATTCTCGGTTTGGCAAGTCGGGAAAATTTTCTTCAAAAATTTTTCTCTCTGAGGTTACTAAATATTTCTCGGCAACGAACATATCGTTAAAGAGTACTCGATCAATACTTTCTTGATATAATTTAGCTCTTTTTATAACCACAAAAAATACTGCATTTAGGGCGTGTGAAGTCTACTATGACAAAACTCTCGACTCAACTTAATACTCTAAAGCAGACTGAATTCGAAATAAATTAAACGGAAAAGAATGAAAATTTCAAAAATAGACAAAGGACGCAGAAAATGGAATTGAAAATTCAGGCAGTCGCCTGAGAAATTCAGGGAAGACGTTGCTCTCACGGAATATTGAAAGAGCTGAGAACCATGAACATGGTAGCTTAATCCTTTGAGTCACAGGCTGTAAAGAATGAAGGAAGTGGCTTATGGTCCACACTGCTAGATAAGGTATCTAGATTACAAATGTCGTGTAGATTTCTGGAATAAAAATAAATTGAAAAAATTTGAAAAAATAAAATAAATAATTATAAATGTCGTGTAGATTTTTTATAAACATTTTTTAAAGAAAAATTTCCAGTGTACCATATAAGGCCATGCTGAGACTGAAAAACAAGGGAAAAATCTTAATCTAATGTCGAACGTGCACCATTTTTTTACCATGGTTTCTACTATTACTTATTCTAAAGGCGAACTCTATTAATAGAAATGGTAATTTCCATGTATGACTGGCTTGAGTACCGCGCCCAATACTAATAGGTTTTTTTGGAAAAGTGAAACTGGCTTTTCTTTATAGACACAGGCAGAAATTCATGCAAATAGTCATTTCATCACGCACTTCCGTTATTAACAAAAAGAATAAAAGATTTCACTACATTTCTTCCCCCTTTTTTTGTCAAGAGATGTGAGTGCTCAGCGAAGTGCTATGTATAAAAGCTTTATTCGCTGCAAAACTCTTGGGTGCACAGACTTTTGGGGCAGCTAACTTCTCAAAAGGGCGCATACGTATAGCAGGTTCTTGAGGTGGGTGGGATAATGAGGAAGTCGAAAACATTCGATGCATTTATGCTTTTAAATGTACTATAATGTTTACTTGCACTACCCAAGAAGGCAATTGTTCTGAAAGGGGGAGAAAAGTTCGCCGACAATTTTGGCTAAAATGAAGCAATTTAAATACGCGAGAGCGAATTGTAATTGTGTAGGGCAGACGCACTTAAAAGCTATATTGCGTTTGCGTTTATCTAAGAAACGAAAATAGCGAATTGTAGCTCGCTTTATCGAAAGTTCAAATACAGGGCACACGATATGATGTGGTCAGATATTTCTTATCTAGAATTATTTCCTTTAGAACTGATCCATGCATAAAATAGTAGCAATTACGTTAGGGAACTGTCAGGTAGCTTGTGCCTAAACGATGTGAAGCGCAGTTAGTTGAAACTATAGTTTGACACTTCAAACGGCCGAACATTTGAGATAAATAATTTCTGAAAAAAAAACCAAGGAAAAATCGAAAAATAAGAAGCATTCCCTAAATCATTCAATGTGCTTATTACAGCTGTTTCATAACAGTGACCAAAGTTGTGCACCGCTATATGAGCTAGTGTTTTGATGTCGAAAACTCGTGAACCATTTGGACTATTCGAATATTCGAATGAATGATAGTCTAAAGTTTAGGATGACATCGTTAAAGTGGTTTACCCATATCTGCAGCACATAGTGAGAATCTGAAAAGAGCTGCGACGTATTTTTAAAGAATTCTACTTTCAATACCGAGGGTCCTGACTGGTCAGGCTCTAAAGCTTTGTCCTATGATACATCTGCGCTGTCAGAGATTTTTAGCTGCCCGAGAAAAAAATTTGCGAAACGATTGAATTTTGCATATTTCGAGTGTTCGATGATTTTTGTTCCTTTACTCATAAAATGGCTAGCCGTTTGGCTCCTTGGTGTTTTCCGAAGTTTGAGAGTCCGAAGTAGGCACGGGAAATTGTTTCAATTAAGAAGGAAGTCTACAAAAGGGCATAAATTTATTTTGGATTTAAAATTTTCGTAAATTGAGTGCAACAGCCAGCGCACAGTATTTTCAAATCGGCAAAAAACCAAAGAACGTCTAGAACACCTCTAAGAAAGTTTGGTACAGAGAAGAAAACTTAACTGCAGAGGTGAAATTCTGCACCATCTTAGAGAACTCTTCTAGAAGGTGCCTAACAAGAGAACTTCGAAGGCGAAACGGTGGAACATTCGGACAATGACTCTGGTTACTTTTGGATAACCCTATATGTACTGTCTCGGACACTGAAGAACTATAGTTGATCAAGAACTTTCTACCTCAAATGTTTAGGCACATGTTTTTTTTTGTTCAAAGTTCTGAAATGCTATTTTATTCGAAATATCATTGTATGATGTATTTTTACATCAGAAACTAAATAAATGAAGTCTCTATATATAGTCTGAGGCAAAGTAATTTTCTGGTAGTGATCAGGTTAGCCTATTAAGGCAACTCAATGGAATAGCCGAACAAAAATAGAACAAATTTTCAACAATGCGAAGCTTTGGGCCGAGCGGACTTATTAAAGTAAAATGTGTAGGTTGGCTGGCTTAAAAGCGATGCTCACAATTAGAAAATGTTCTCGAATGTTTGTTTCCAGGACATTCCTCCATTCGTGAGTAAAAAGACTGCAGAAGCAATCGTGTCAGAATTTCATTTTCCCTTAGAGCCCTGCTTGGGGTGAGCTCCTATGGTATGCAGTACTATACCTTTTTTTAAACCGGAGACATGGAACGGCCAAAATTGCAAGCAGAAAGAAAGCCCATTAAGTATAGCGTCTGTGCAAATTTTTTGAGATCTCTTTTCCCTACAAGTCGTATCTTAATTGGTAGAGCTCATATGCCTTTCAGCTTCGTGCACATATATTTTGCTTTTAAAAATACCAAAAGAGCCGTTCAAGAAAGTGTGCATCTGTCGGCGTAAACGCGTAGTCAGTAGACCACACATAAGTGAATCACCTACAAAGACCACACCAGCTTCTTTTCTTATTTCCGTAATCTACTACGGTTACCTTCACGCTGGTTTAAGCTCAAAAAATCTTCAGGGCTGCGGTAAACCCATGCTTATACCAGTTTGCTACCTAAAGCCAGCATTCGATCTCAAAAAGGTTGTCCAGCTATTATGGCAAAGATTTCGGCAGCAGCTTCTTCTACATTCCTACCATAGCTTGGCGCCTAATTGGCTCTAACTTTCAAAAAATGGTGATTTTCTTTAGCCAACGTGCGATTGTATACGCCGGAAATTGTGTCAAAACATATTAAGTGAAGCTTTTTCTTCAGCTTTTCCGCTTTTGGTACGTGTTCACCAAATCGAACTGGTGTGTTAGCCAAATGGAATTGCTCTTTTTTGGAAGTTAGAGCTAACATTTGTGAGTGCTACTATGGTTGCGATGTTGAAAAGGGTTCACCTGAAATCTCTACATTAATAGCTCAATAGCCTTTTTGGTACCGAGTGCTACCTTTAGCAAGGCTTATTATCCCCTGATACCGGTACCGGCTGATAGCGAGAGATGGTAGAGGGTGTGGCCGGGGCACTGGCAGGTTGTGGACACGGAGACGGCTGAGAACTGCCCTTAAGGGATTTTTATTTTAGCAAAACGGGTTATTTGAGATGCGGGCACGCCCTCTTCTTTTGAAAGTCGCTGCATAATGTTATTCGATTTTTTTTGAGGTGGACGTGAACACTACACCAACTGATCTGAGGCTTAATTCTGAGGGAAATGAAACGGTACGCCCCATTCGCCTACGTTGTTCTCAGGGTTAGGCAGAGGAAGCAATAAATTGGGAGACATTTCCTTTCAATTTCAGATTGCGAAACTTTGCCATGGAATATTGTACTGCACTCCTAAAGAACATCAAAAGGACATCGAACATGACAGTCTGGTCGATCCTCAAAAAATAATAGAAATGGTTTCTATGGAATCAGGGCTTTGCTCCCTTTACTTGCAGATACATGAAAATTTCTGAAAATTTCCATAGTTGTTTTTTTCACGAAAATTTTTCAAGCGAAGACCATATATGGCTCGTATGCCTACAGCAGGTGTTGCCTCATCCATTTACAGGAAAGCCACATGTAAATCCAGTGACAAAGTGAACTTATGGAGGTTTAAGCTTCTGAAAGCTTACTTTCATCACATGTGACAAGGAGAGCCTTGAAAAGATTGGAAAAAGCCTCTGTAATGCATTAGTTAATTTTGCAGGTTTTCCTAGAACCAGTCAATTTCCATGCCTTTTAAGAAAAACTGAGAAAAAAAAGAACCACATAAAAAGGACTCCGTAGAGAATTGGAAGTTGATTGAGTAGGTGCGGCCGTAAAGCTTCTTTCGCGGACATGGATTGAGGGGGATCTTAACCCGCTTTTTCTGTAAGCAGAAAAACTAATTTTAATTAATTTACTAGGTAGGTTAGCCATGCACAGCCAGTTTTAAAGACAAATTAGACATCGCATTAATAGACTGAAAATGAAAAAAAAAACAAAGGAAAGCGAACATCCGAAAGCAGAAAACAAGAATAAAAAAATGGCACAAATTCAGGAAAACAGAGGTTGGAGAAAATTTGGAACGCTTCATGAATTTGCGTGCCATCCTTGTGCAGCGGCCATGCTAATCTCTGTGTTATTTCAAATCTAACGTATGTTCTAACGTAGGAATGAACCAGCACGAAAAGAAGAATGAAGAGCCAGGAGAAACTCCATCTTTAAGTTGCTCTTGTAAAATTTTATCGCTGAAAGTTTGCTTGGGAAAGAAAGCTAACGCAGCTTTGAGCTATATTAATTTTAAAGGTTTTTGTTTAACCTTTAAGGCAACAACCACGCTAAGGCCGGATTCCGCGATTCAGGTGGTTTATGAGACCTTGATGGGAGTAGCCGCACGCCAAAGTAAGAGCGCCGGAAAACCACTCGTTGCCGGGAAAATGGCCAAAATGGAAGTGGACCCGGTGGACAGAATACAAAGGATGTGGGACGAGTTGTCTTGCCATTGTGTTTTGCACGCTAGTTAAGGCGCTATAGCCAACTGGTGTAAGTGGAGCTGTACGAGCCTTCCATGTCCACATGCTGAAATGGTAGGTGACACCAAAAGAAAGCGAGCGAGGAAATGGAAAAATTGTCCGCGAAATCGCGTACTAGTCTTCTGGAGCAATTTTCTCGGCCAGGAATGACTTTTGGGCCGAAAAATTTGAATCTCAACCCTGTTTCGAGTTCGCCTCTCAGAATTCATCGAGAAGTCAGAAAGCGTTCTGAACGTGGGTGCTGCCTTTAGGGGGCCCTTAGGCGCTTCAGCGTAGGACCTTTTCCTATGCTTGGTGGTACATCGGTCCTACGCTGGAGCGCTTAGCAATAATGGGTCCATTAAAGGCG